CCTGTAACAGCGAGGTTAAATTTCAATTACATAAATAATATCGTTGAATATAAGGCATGTGTCACAGGGCCTACAAGTTGTTATAAATAGAAAAATGAAAACATTAAAAGTGTTTAAAGATTTAGCTTTAGTTATATATCAGTTGAAAAGAGAATGAGAGACGAGAGATTCGAAACTCGTTCCATATCATAAGTATATTTTAAAGTTGATAAAGTAATTTGAAGATATCCAGTTTGACCATTTACCTCGAGAAGAGAATCTGATTGTCGATGCCTTGGCTACTCTGGCTGTAATGATTCGAATTAATGACAATACTGACATTCAGCCTATTAGGCTAGATGTTAAAGATACGCCAGCTCATTGCTCCAATGTAGAAGAAGATGAGGATAGGAAACCATGGTATTATGATATCTTATAGTATATTAAGGATCAGCAATACTCAGTTCAAGCAACAAAAAATGATAAAGATCATCCAAAGATTAGCCATGAGTTTTTTTTAGATTGGAGATATTCTGTACAAAAGAAGCCATGATCAAGTATTACTAAGATGCGTAAATAAGGCTGAAGTAAAAAAAATCATTGAAGAGGTACATGATGGAATATGTGAGGTACATGTCAATGGACATATGATGGTGAGACAGATCATGAGAGTAAGATACTATTGGTTGACAATGGAGAGTGATTACATTGACTATGCTCGTAAGTACTATAAATGCCAGATATAAGCTGATAAGATCCATACTCTGCCATCTGCTTTACATGTTATGGCACCACCTTAGCCATTCTCAATGTGGGGTATGGATGTCATTGGTCCTATCACCTTAAAGGTTTCTAATGGACATAGATTTATTTTTGTGATGGTAGATTACTTCACAAAGTAGGTGAAAGTAGCATCATATGCAAACGTAACACGATCTATGATTTGTAAGTTCATAAAGAGAGAGATCATCTATAGATATGAACTTTTAGAAAGAATTATTTCAGACAATGCCAAAAATCTAAATAGTAACATGATGCAAAAATATGTGCTCAATACAAGATCAAGCATCATAACTCAATACTATACTATCCGAAAATGAATGGAACAGTTGAAGCAGCCAATAAAAACATAAAAAGAATTCTTGAAAAGATGACCAAGACTTATAAAGATTGGCATGAGAAGTTGTCATTTGCACTATATGTATATCGAATATCAGTGCGTACCTCTACTGGGGTAACCCCATTTTTTTTGGTTTATGAGATGAAAGTTATACTATCAGTGAAAGTGGAGATCCCATCCTTAAGGGTTCTAAAAGAAGTTGTGTTTGAAGAAGTTGAATGGATTCGAGAACGCTATGAACAGTTAAATTTCATAGAAAAAAGAGATTGACTGCATTGTGTCATGGTCAACTATACCAAAGAAGAATGATGAGGGCTCATGACAAAAAGATTTGACCCTATTACTTTCGAGAATGAAAGTTGGTCTTGAAGAGAATCCTCTCAACCCAGCATAATAATAGAGGAAAATGGACTCCGAATTGAGAAAAAAGGTATGTGGTGAAACGAGCTTTCTCGGGTGGAGCACTGATACTGACTGAGATGGATGGAAATGATTTATCCCATCTTATAAATTTTGATGCTGTGAAAAAATACTATGCTTGAAAAAAAAGAGAAAAAATAAATTGAAAAAAGAAAAAAAAATAAAAAAAATGAATGAAAAAAGAGGACTCAAGGTAAAAACCCTAAAAGGGCGGTTTGAGTCATATGGGGTTTATCTAAGTTGAAAACCTAGAAATGCAGCTTAGATAAGGAGAATATAACATCAAATTTGAAAATTCGTTAGCATGGAGACTAGTAAATTTGAAAGAGCTCTAAGTTGTTGAATGCTTCAGATGGTTAGGTTTTCAGGAAAAATCTTGAGATATGTTATCATGATTGTCTGATTGTTCATTTTTGGGCATTGTCTGATTGTTCATTTTTGGGCATTGGCCTAAGTTTGCTAATATTTTGCTAATAAAAGATATTCTATTTCACTCTTTGTGTGCCTTTTCTGGTGACTGTTTCCCAACCATTCTTATTCTTTTCTTTTTAATACTCAACAATGAAAAAAATGTGCAAGTGCATTCTTACTTTTTGAGTTTGAAATAATGATCGATAAATGAATAATGGCATGAAAGATTTTTACATTACATTGAAAAAGTCAAGAATGATAAAGGTAAAATCGAGATGTTCAATTCCTGATAAGGACATTGGATTTGGAAAAAAAAAATTTACAGAAAGAATGTGAGAACTAAATGGAAGAGATGATTTAGAATTACACTGCCTTGATCTTAGAAGAGCATTGTAACTTAGTCTTTAAAGAATCAAGGGTTCGAAGCCCAAGAAAAGAGCTTGAGAAACTTGAGTACCACAATTGAATAGGAATTAATTAGCCAACATTTGTATAGCATGCATTGAATTTCACATACATTGCATAGCATATACTACATTCAAGAAAATATAGTGCATAAATTCAAAAAGTAGGGGTATTCCAACATCCCACATAGAGAATACAGATGTGAAGACATTTTCAAATTTGAGAAAAAGCTTATCAGGTAAGTTTCTAATCTTTGAAATAGGTTGTCTCTCGATATCAGGGTTGATTTGTAAGACCTTTGGGCATAATCTCTTGAAATTCCTTCAAATACGATTTTCAACTCCTTTGGACATGATTGTCAATGAGCAATTTATTTTTTGAAGTTGTGATGACTCTGTTTAGAGGAGCAATCTATTTTTCAAAGTTATGATGCCTCTAATTAGAGGAGCAATTTACTTTTCAAAAGTCGTTGAGCCTCTGATTAGAGGAGCCTTTTATTTTTAAAAGTTGTTAAGCCTTTGCTTAGAGGAGCTTTGCTTATTTTCAAGGTCGTCGAGCCTCTATTTAAAGGAGCTTTGCTTATTTTTAAAGTTGTTGAGCTTCTATTTAGATGAGCCTTGATCAAAATTTTAACAAAAAAAATGTCAAGTTGAGTCTTGAATGGGTGTCTACGTCTTTGCACAATCCCTATTTCACAGAAAATGTGCAAAGAGGGACAATTGTAGACACCCAATTTAGTCCAGGTCCGGATCAATTAGGCCTGGTCCAAATGGGTAAGCCCATTTTATTATTTATTTTTTATTTTGTATCTTGTGTTTTTTTTTGTATCTTATTTATTTATTATTTAATTATTATTACTATTTATTAATATATATTTTTTATTTATTATTTATCTGTTGATATATATACTTTATTATTATTTATCTATTAATATTTTTATCTATTAATATATTATCTTTATTTTTTATTTTTTATTTTTTTTCTTTTCTTTCTTTCTTTTTTTGATTACCCGATTGGGATTAGGATTAGGAACAACTGAGATTCTGGCGTGAATTTGGGGCTGGTAGAGTTGGAATTGGATTCAAAGATTGAATCCAAATCTCAGAGAAAATTGAGATTAATCAGAAACTCTTTTGATTAATCCCTATAAATATGTGTTAGAATAGAATAGAAAAGACACTGACAGAGAGAGAGTGAAAAGAGAAAGAAAAAAGTCATTCAGAAAGGTTAAAGCAATTTTTAGAATTTTTTGGAGAATTTTAGGCTAATTTTTTCTAGAAATTTTTGAAAAATTTTTAGATTTCGGTTGAATTTTTCGGGCGAAGTTTGAATTTTTCGATGAATTTTTCGGCATGAGTTGAACTTTCCGGCCAGCTACCCAGTTTTCGGTAACTATTTTCAGAAATCGATCAATTTTTTGATGAACTTCTGACAAAAAACTCAGATTTCGACAACATTTTTCAGAATTTGACGAGATTCAACTGGAGTTCTTCGTTTGGGTAGAGCGAGGGAGGAGGAAAGAAAAGAAAGAGAGAGAGGAAATGGGAGATCTGTTGAAAAACAGAGGATATAGCCTTTATACCTGTTGAAAACGATGTTGTTTTGGTGTTATTGTTCCCAGAGGATCTGAGCGTTTTGAAATTGGACGACCCGACCCGAGCGCCAACTCGCGTGTGACCCGCGTGTGACTCGAGTGCGAGCCATTTCTGAAGCCGAGCCGAACCGCGTTTCCGAGCCGTTTTTTTTCTCAAGTCGAGCCCCGTTAAGCCGAACCGTTCCCAGGTTATTTATTTATTTATTTATTATTATTATTTATTGATTAGATTAGAATTGTTTAGTACTTTTTTATTTTATTTTATTTTTATTTTATTATTTTCTTTAAATGAAATTCAAAAAAATATATTTTTAAGAAAAAGTTGAAAGTGTCAATTTTCCTTGAAAATAAGTTTTTCTAAAAAATATTTTTAAGAAAAAGTTGAAAGTATCAATTTTTCTTGAAAATAAGTTTTTTTCTAAAAAAATATTTTTGAGGAAAAGTTGAAAGTATCAATTTTTCTTAGAAATAAGTTTTTTCTAAAAAATATTTTTGGGAAAAAGTTAAAAGTATCCATTTTTCTTAAAAATAAGTTTTCAAAAAAGAGTTTTTTTTTTAGGAAAAGTTGAAAGTATAAATTTTTCTTGTACAAAAGCAATGAATTTTTGAAGAGAAAAAGATTTATATCTAAAGCTAAATCATTTTTTTATTTCTTTTCCTTTTTATTTTTTTAAATTTTCTTTAATATTAAATAATTTGACGATAGAGCCTCTGTAAGTAAAACAATAGTCTCCTTGCATATTCTTGAGGTGAGAGAATTTTTTTAATTTTTTGCTAAAAGTATTAGAGTCAATTGAGAATAATTTTTAATAGTTAATTACTTGATAAATTTTTAAGGCTTATTAGATAACACAAAAATAAGTTGGTACCATCTTTCATGAGCGTTATGAGGGTGTTATAACTTTTTTCACATGTAATCGAACTTTAAAACTCTGTTCCGGTTAATAGACCTGAACCTATTCTTTTAGGGACCTTTAGGCCTAGGTGTTTTTTAAAAGGATAAATTTTTTAATTACATATAAATAAAAAAATTGATGCTAATTTCTTAAATTAATATCTAACGATATTTTTGGATCTAGACGTTATGTCATGTTCACCGGTAATTTTATTACGACGGAATCGCGAGACCAAACACCCTTTTAAGTAGCTCAGACTATCTCTCATTTTTATAGGTTTCATTTGTTATCAGAGTTCCTAACAGTTTGAGGTAGTTTGATTAATTGATTGCTTGGCTTGCTTTTTTTAATCTTTTTTCTCCTTTCACCATGTTTATTTAGCTTTTCAAAGGTGTCGGAGACTCATCTTCAACTCCAAGATTCTCCATTTCTTCATTTTTGTTTGTCTTGTTCTTGCAGTTGAGTAATCCAGTTTTTGATATGTTCTTCCGACGAGTCATTACAAGCAAGAATCATTTGAAGATCAGGGAAGAACCCAAGATTCAGGTATCACACCTAAGCTTCCTATCCCTTTTGTATAATTAAGGAGATCAGTCAATCTACAAGTATATTCATCCATGCCGGCCCGGCCTCTTGTTTTGATGGAGTTGGCTTTTATGCAGAGTAAAATATGGTCCTAATGGTTTAATTTCCTTCTGAAAATTTGCAAATATATGGATCCAAACTTGGTTTTTCTTTTCTTTTTTTTTTTTTTTTATAAATTTTTCTTCACCATTTCGTTATCCATCCTAATTGTTTTGATCCATTCATCAACGAGCTGTTAAAAGATTCAGGCAGATCAATTGTTGCAGGGTTAATTTATAAGAACCGAAAATATGTACTAATACAAGTTTGGGTCAAGCAGGAACAGCCGGCTAAAGTTCCAAAATGGCGACAACTTCTAAATCCAAAAAACAAATAGCAGGTGAGAAGAAAATAGTGATCGTGGAAGGTCGGCATCCACAAAAAATGGTGGGTTCTAGTGTTGCTGAAGCAGCGTTGACTGAGGCTACCAACCAACACAAACAAACAGGTCGCAAACGTGAAAGAACTGAAGCTCAAAGGATTGCACATAGAGCCACTTGTAGGAAGTTTCGACTGAAAGAGAAAGTAAAGCAATTAATCTCTATCCATCAAAATTTCTTTTTCAGTTTATTTATATCTTTAATTAACTTTTGCTTCCTGTTTTATAAAATAAAGGGCAGGCGTACGGAACTCAAAAAGATGGAGACCGAGTACTTTGAAATGGTGCCAAAGTTCGAAAAGATGAATTCTGAAAACCAGCGGCTGAAAATGGAGCTGGAGGAAAGCATCTCTGAAAATGAACGTAGGCGGAAGGAAATCGAGGGACTGAAGAGAACTCTTGAGGAACAGGTGCCATACCGCCATTTCTCTCGCCCTCCCTATCTATCTAGTATTAACATTATCTTCTACCATTTGCTTGCTTTCCTTGTTTGTAAATGATTGGATTGTGCGATAAAATAATCATTTGTGGTTAATTACTGAAACCCAATTTTTTTTATGATGAAGAGTAATAGCAGATTTTTTTTTAACAACCATTTTACACTTGAGAGGATAGCTAGCTTAAAGTTTAATCGCTTTAACATTTACAACCAATCTTCGTCCACCAATATAAAAGGCTTTTGAAGGCTAGCAGAATTATAGTTAGCTAAAAAAATCATAATTTTGTTTGAATGACATAGTCAGTAGTTCAAATTATGTTGTATAATAAACTAATAGTTAAAAAAAAAAACTTTTTAAGTATAATTTTGATTAATATATTTTTCTTACATACTTGGTTAACAAATTGATGATTTCTGAGCTAATAGCTAGTTTTTGTTTAGCTTAAAAGTATAACCATATGATTGCAACATGTTCTTGAATATATGACCGTTATTATAATAATATAATTTTTGAATTGTTAAAGTGTTGTTATTTTTTATTTGTTAAATTTTAAGTTTCCTTTGTCTTCTTATCCTTTTTAAGTTTGTCACATGTTAAGTTTTTATCTTCATCCACACGTAATAAAGGTATGCTAAAGTAATGTTATTTTACATCTATTAAATTATGGGCTTTTTGTGATCTTATATACAAGTTGGATTACTTCACCTATAATTAATTAGTTTTAGGTTAGATGCGTATTTAATATAGTATCAAAGTCATGTTTCTATTTATTGTTTTTACATGTTACTTTTCCTGTTATTTCTTTTAAATTTGTCATGTCTTAAATTTCTGTGACTTATTAAAATGGTGTTATTTTATATTTGTTAAACTTGAGTTTACTATGAATTTGTATTCAAGTTATATTGTTTCACTTGTTATCAATTGATTTTAGATTTGATGTGTACTATGAATCAAAGAATTTGTCTATCACATTAAAAAAATTTGTAATTTATCCATTTCAAGAAAAAGGAAAAAAGGAATCATGGGTTCCTAAATTAATAGAAAGACTTGTGCTATTCGTAAGTGTTAGCTAACAATATCCATTTTTAATATAATTGTGTTTTCAGAAATCCAAGCAGGCACAGATGAGTCAAATTCCTGCAGAATTGGAAATTGATTTAAGAAAATTTATATTTTATTATAAATTGAAGCCGTAAACTCCACCTATATTTTCTATTATAATTTTAATCTTTTCACATAAAAAGTGAAAAGCATTAGTTTCCCATTTTTATTGTATGAGCTGTTCATATCTAACCTTAAACTTTCCCATTTTTACTGCTTCTTGATTTGTTTGTCTTGAACTGCAGGGGCAAAGCATTAGTATTTTGAACAAGGTATGCGAATTTTGTTGTGCCATTTTTTAGTTTCGGCTCTTCTGTTGAGTGCTGAAGATATTATTCTTTATTGCAGTATGTAGAATTGTTTGCGTCGCAGACCTTTGAGCCAGGTGCGTGAACTTCTAAAACTATGCTTTGCAGGATGGTAATGAATTAGTGGGATTGGGAACGACTGGGGCAGACAATTTTCTACCTTTGTATATATTGCCTGATTTTGATCAGCAAATGGGGCTTTGGTATTAATTATATATCCAACTCTTGATCAAATTGCTTGGTATTATCTTGATAGACTTTACATGTTTGCAGTCTCCGACTACCCCAACATAACTGCCTCTTCTGCTGTATCCTCCCTTGGTGCAAATCCTGACTTTTCCTCTTTGTTTGATGCCCAAAATGATAATCGTCTCTCTCTGCCAGCTGCCCCAAATAATTATCTTGGTAAATCAGGTTTTAATATTCTTCATCATCATATAATATATATATATATATATATATATATGTTAGGAATAGTCACTTAATCTCATAAGAGATCTATTTGAAATCGATTAGATATTAATTGATGGATAAAAAGACTTGCAAAAGAAAATTTCTAAGAGAAATTTTTTTTTTAATAAGCAGGTTAGTCTGTTTATAAATAGGTAGAGTCTCCGTAGAGTTAAATATTATAAAAAAATGTAAGAGAGTTGTAGGGTTTTATGGGATAGACAACTAATAAACTAGAGGAGATTAAAAGTTAAAAGTTTTTTATAGGTGTGTATGTTTGAGTGGAATATAAGAGAGTGAGAGTGTCTACATGGATATGTTACATTGATGCATATGAGTATGTGTTTGTTTGGATTGAGAATACTCTATAAGGCTAGAGAAGAATGAAAAGGTCTATAGGTATTGATTATTAGTGAGATAGATTTAGTATGAAGGCACAAACTTGCTGTTGACAACTAAGCAAGTTTTTGCCTTCATAACGTTGGTTCATCATGTTTACTCCTTATTCATTTCTCAAATTGTCGAAAAATTTACATGTTTCTTAGTATTAAAAATTTGCTTTTGAGTTGGTTAATTTTACTATTGACTGTAAGGTCCTCTCATAGTTTCCTAAATTCACTCATCTTGGTTTGTGTTTTCTTGTTAATTTAGGAGATGGGGCTGGCTACTCTTCTGGTGCAAATCATAACTTTTCAAATGTGTCGGATGCCTTTGCCCCAAATTGTCATAATAACATTGTCGACTCTGCTACCGGTAATTAAGCAAGTTTTTGCATTCATAATGTTGGTTCATCACGTTTACTCCTTATTCTTTTCTCAAATTGTTGAAGAATTTACATGTTTCTTGGTATTAAAAATCTGCTTTTGAGTTGGTTAATTTTACTCTTGACTACGAGGACTTCTCTTAACTTCCTAAATTCACTCATCCTGATTTGTGTTTTTTTTTAATTTAGGAGTTGGGGCTGTCAGCTTTTCGGATTACTTGCTGGATGTGGTTGATGTCCCAAATCTTCCTGGTAACATTGGCTCCTTCACTAATGATCCTGCTGACGGTAATTAAGCAAGTTTTTGCATTCATATTATTGGTTCATCATGTTTATGCCTTATTCTTTTCTCAAATTGTCGAAGAATTCACTTGTTTCTTGGTATTAAAAATTTGCTTTTGTGTTGGTTAATTTTACTCTTGACTACAAGGTCTTCTCTTAACTTCCTAAATTCACTCATCCTGGTTTGTTTCTTCTTTTTAATTTAGGAGTTGGGACTAGCTTTGTTGAAGACTCGCTGAATGTGGATGATGACCCAAATCTTCATGATAACGCTGGCCCCTTCATTGATGGTCCTCCTGCTGGCAATTAAGCAAGTGTTTGCATTCATAATATTGGCTCATCTCTTGTTTATATTTTATTGAGTTAATGTCATGAATTATTTCTAAATTATAATAAAATATTTAGTATAATATTTAAGTTTAAATATTTAATGTAATACCTGAATTATAAATTTATTAACTGATATACTAATTACTTCTAATGTAATTAGGTCCAAATGATAACATGTAATGTACAAATAGCTAGTATCACATTAATTAATATATTCATAATTCAAATCTCATATTAGAGATTTTTAAAATTTAAATATCATATTAAATATTTTATTATAATTTAAAGATTATTCGTGATATTATCCTTTGTGATTTTCTAGTACGACTGGAAAAAAATATTTTACAATTTTGTAATGGTACTAAAATATTGCTTTTGTGTTGGTTAATTCTACTCTTAATTACTACAATGTCTTCTCTTATACTTATCCCCATGAATTTTCGTGTTAATTTAGGATCTACGTTCTGAGAAAATCCACATTCCAAGGCGGTTTAGAGATCTCTATCAGCTCCTCACCTCAACCAGATTCCTGCAACTTCTGCTCTTATCGATCTGTTAGTAGAACCACCTTGTCGGAAACTACACTAGTGTTGTACCGAGCATGTCAACAAGCCAAGAGTTATCTTCACCGTCTCTGACTCGGAGTCCATAAATAGTATCTGGTGATGGTACTTTCGTCATTGTTTCTGTTTCTGGTAGTCGCTGCTTTGTATGTTGAACATATAAATATTTTTGTTGTATATTTCAGTAACTATTTGTTCATTTTCATATGAAGTTGCATGAAATAAACAATAGTGAGGTGACATCTTTGTTCTACATTCTCATTCATCCGTCCCTTAAAATGCTCGATCATGGAATATTCCAGGTTGCATGTTGACAATAAAATTGGTCATACGTGAAGAAATTCTAAGTTGCGTAGCAGAAAATGTCTCTACTTCGTTTTCTGTAAGCCTTCGAAATCGAGGTTGTGGCAAACAAAAATTATAAACCGTCTGCAGAACCTTGTAGACGATTACAAAAGCTGACTTCTGCTCGCAGTTGTCATGGTATGCCCTGTGGAGACTTGACCACGATCCTAACCATTTGTATTTTCCATTTATAGAAGATGTAATAAACTCATCTAGATGAAACCCCAATTTGTATATTCTTTTACTTAATTTAATAGAAATATATGTCATCAAAGAAGTGTAATTTTCACGTGTTCAAAACGTAAAATGATTTAATTTACCATATTGTTTTTGGTTTCAAATAGTATGGTGACCGCCCATCGAAGGATTCAGAGTTGTTAAACATAACAGAGCAAAATACAAAGGAAAACAAAAAGATCCCTTCAAATTGTATCTTCACACAAAAAATAAGCGAAGAAAGGGGGGAATATTTATCCCTTTAACTTCTACTAAGAGAAAAATTACAGTATCCTCGTCTCACCTACGCTATGCTCGTCTTTCTCACCCCTGCTGCTGCTTGCAGCAGGCAGTGTAATTAGAGATTTTTAGAGTTCGTCATGTGAATCGTCCTCTTCAGTTGATTCACCCCCTAGAGCTCCACCAGATCTTTGATATACAGCCGTGATGATAGGGTTGCAAACAGCCTCGACCTCCTTGAGCTTCTCCTCGTATTCTTCTTTCTCAGCACTTTGGTTCTCGTCAAGCCACTCAAGGGCCTCCTTCACGGCAGCATCAACTTTCTCCTTCTCATCTGATTCAAGCTTGTCAGCAAGCTTATCCTTGTCGTTAATCTGGTTTTTCATGTTGTAGACATAGGTCTCCAGGCTGTTGCGAGCATCAATCTTTTCCTTCACCTTCTTGTCTTCCTCTGCAAATTCCTCTGCTTCCCGAACCATTCTGTCAATCTCCTCCTGGCTCAGACGACCCTTATCATTGGTGATAGTGATCATCTGTGATTTACCTGTGCCCTTATCTTCTGCCTTAACATTTAAGATACCATTTGCATCAACTTCAAATGTAACTTCAATTTGAGGGGTTCCCCTGTGCAATTGAGGGATCAAAAAGTAAGTCAGAAAATTCAGGTGAAGATTTGCAGAAAACATGCAAGATAATTTGATGGAGAGAGCAAACCTTGGAGCTGGAGGAATTCCATTAAGATCAAATTTCCCAAGCAACCTACAATCCTTTGTGAGACTCCTTTCACCTTCAAAGACCTGACATCAAACCAAAGCAATTCAAATAAGGTTCAAAATATTCCAGTTCTTAGCATTAGAAAATCCAATTATAAAACATTTTACTAGCAGACAGGCATTTATAAATTTTAATAACAAGCCTGTACCTGAATGGAGACGGTGGTCTGCTGATCCTGATAAGTGGTGAAAACTTGTGACTTCTTGGTTGGAATAACAGTGTTTCTGGGAATCAACTTGGTCATTACCCCACCAACAGTCTCGATACCAAGCGTAAGTGGAGCCACATCAAGCAGAAGAATATCTGTGCATAAGAATTACACAAATGTCAGCCATAGTTGATTCAATTAGAACAGTTTCATCAGCTATAGGCCTGCATAGTTATAATCGACAAAGTTAAGGAGAAGAAAATGTACCTTTGGTTTCATCACCACCCTCTCCACTCAAGATGCCTCCTTGTACTGCTGCACCATAAGCAACTGCTTCATCTGGGTTAACACCCTTGTTGGGCTCCTTTCCATCAAAGTAGTCCTTAAGGAGCTGTTGAACCTTTGGAATTCTTGTGCTTCCACCTACAAGGACAATCTCATCAATTTGATGCTTCTCCAAACCAGCGTCTTCCATTGCCTTCTTCACTGGTCCCATGGTCTTTCTGAACAGGTCATTGTTCAACTCCTCAAAGCGAGCCCTGGTCAGTGGCTCAGAGAAATCAACACCATCAAAAAGTGATTCAATCTCCACACGGACCTGGTGCTGGCTGCTGAGAGCTCTCTTGGCACGCTCAGCTTCCCTCCTAAGCTTCCCAAGAGCCCTGTTATCCTTGCTGATATCCTTTCCATGCTTTTTCTTGATCAATTTAATAAAGTACTCCATAACCCTTTGATCAAAATCCTCACCTGCAAGAAAAATGACCGTTAGCAAAAATCCATAATCAAAACAATTTTTAAAGAATAAAAGCAAACAAGAAGATGCTTACCTCCCAAATGAGTGTCTCCATTCGTGGAAAGAACCTCGAATACACCATTGTCAATTGTCAAGATACTGACATCAAATGTCCCACCACCAAGGTCAAAAACAAGAATGTTTTTCTCTCCACCCTTCTTGTCCAAACCATAGGCAATGGCAGCTGCAGTTGGTTCATTGATAATTCTTGCCACATTGAGCCCAGCAATAATGCCAGCATCCTTGGTGGCCTGCCTTTGGGCATCATTGAAGTAAGCTGCAAATCAAACATAGAGATAATTTGAACATAAACATGGATCAGACAAACAGAACCTTTTTCCAACAGAGAACATTGTTCCTTATAATGCACTCACCAGGAACAGTGACGACTGCGTCCTTGATTTTCTTCCCAAGGAAAGCTTCGGCTGTTTCCTTCATCTTATTCAGAATCATAGCACTGATCTCCTCAGGACTGAAGACCTTGGTCTCTCCATCCTTAATCTTTACTTGAACATAAGGCTTTCCATCCTTGTTCACAATCTTATATGGAACAAGTTTCATGTCCTTCTGGACCTCCTTATCCTCAAACCTGCAAAGAACAAAAGCGCCTCAATAAGCATTATTTCCCACCCCTAAAACATAAAACCAGAAACATGAGAAGAATGTGAATTACTTTCTTCCGATAAGTCTCTTGACATCAAAAATGGTTCTCTCTGCGTTAACAGCTGCCTGATTCTTTGCAGCCTCACCGATCAGCCTCTCGCTGTCAGTGAAAGCCACCCAAGATGGTGTAATACGGTTTCCTTGGTCGTTGGCTATAATTTCAACATGACCGTTCTTGTAAACACCAACACAAGAATAAGTTGTGCCAAGATCAATTCCAATAACCGTCCCTAATTTCATGGCTTCCTCCTTTGCAATTGAGATTGCAAAAAGACATCCTGCTTGCAAAGCTTACACATTGTTAATACCATTATAGAGACCCTTTCAACACGTGATTTAAAGTAAAATAATTATTATTCACTTTAGAAATCAATATCAGATTTGGTAAAACTGCCACGTGTACAATAGATCAAGATAGAATGGAATACTAACGAACTTGCTAGAACATTCTTGTCCATAACATTGATAATTCACCGTAAATGGCAAAATAAAATAAAATAAAGTGAAACAAAGGATTTTAATTAAGTAGTTCAAACTCAACCTCGTTTACTAAAGATCATTCAGTTTTAATCAAACTAATTAGCAAGTCATTCATTCTGTAAATCCAGAAATTTCTAGTTTTCGAATCAATGGAGAGAAAATCAAACAATATGAGATCGCTGAAACTCTTATTTCACGATCTAATGCATCACTAGAACCGTATAACATAAATCAGGTCTAAGCATGCATCGATTTACGAGCAAGAAAATCAATCATCGAAAGAGAATTAGATCTAATATAATTCCTCTATAACAGAGAAACAATCAGAAATCACGAAATCACATGAAACAAGCAGATTTAGCAAACCAGGAACAGCACGGCACCCACCGGTCAAGACTATCGCTAGAACCACCAAAGAGCCGCGTGCTCTCCACAAGCCAGCCATCACGCGTCCTCAACTCTTATCTCTCTCTCCCTCTCTTCAGAGAAGTATCTTCGAGCTTTTCCTCTGAAAGTCGAATCGCTGTACCGTTTAAAATGAAACGAGCTTTTCGAATCAGACCTTTCTTTTTGTTTTTTGAGGGGGAGTCGCGGTTCGCGCTTTTTATATTTGGAGTATCCGCATCTAACGTTAATTTTTCGGACGGGAGTAAAATGAGAGAACATGTCATCTGTGGTGACGTGGACCAATCAGGTTTCGATTACGGATTCATTCAGCCAATGAAACTAGATCTTGTGTTGGGAAGATCCTGGCTGTTTGTTTTCCCAGATGTTTGCGTGTCCGTCTCTTGCTAGCTCTCTTTTCCGATTTAAACTACCATTATAAGAAAAACGCGCCAACACTGAGTCGTTTTTTGACCAGTTCAAATGCACAAAAAAAAGAAAAAAAACTATGGCTTTTTATAACGGAAAATGGACTTACCAAAGACCAGCACCATTTACATTGAGTCAATTTTGAAACAAAATATATAATAAGATACCTGTTTTCTATTAGCGTATGGACTGTACTCAAAACGCACGTCAATAAAGTATTTATTATTATTATTATTATTATTATTATTATTATTATTATTATTATTAGGCAAGAGGCCTTCGCGAAAGAGGGCTTAACATTGGTAATTGTCAATTGTCATGTTCATTTTTTATGTCGTGGGATGTGACTTTGATATGGCTATTGTGAAACATGAAAGCTTAAGTCTAGATTTTGATTATACAATAAATTGATAGCTACTAATTATTGGAAAAATTATATCAATTATTGTTAGTGAAATTTTAAATTTTGTAAATGAAATTAGTAAGAAAACACATATTTTAAAACATATTAAAATAATTAATTAAAAATAAAATATGCATAAATCTTTTAATTTTGTTTATGAAATTAAAAAATTTCAACATATAAAAAATGAATCATTACTATTAAGTGGTAACTAGGAATTATATTTTATTTTGGAAAAAAAAAATTCCGTAACAAATAAGTTGTTTGGAACCCTCAAGCACAAATGTTGTAAATTATCTTAATATCACGAAAAATTATTCGGAAGACTTAACCAAGATTCTTTATTATTCTGAGGAATGGTTTTATAAATTGAAACAACTTGCCATTAGTTAATTTAATTATTACTTATAATAGATAGAAAGAAATAAAAATGAAAAAAAAAAAGTATTCGTGAAGGATATGTTGTGAATAGATTAAGCAGATCATATATACATAATCTAAGTGAAGAGCATCAAAATGCAAATTAAGAGTATATATATTTGAAAGGTACTGT